TTTAAAAAAGATTTATTTAGCCAAGTATGGTGCTGTACACCTTTAATCTTTAATTCCAGCTCTCAGGAGGCAGAGACAGGCAGATCGACGCCAGCCTGGTCTACATAGTGAGTTTCATTCCTGCTGGGGCTACATAGTAAGACCCTGTCTCAAAAAAAAAAAGGTTATTTATTTATGTGTATGTATGTTTGCCCATGAGAGTTTATGTGCACCATATATATTCAGGCACCCTTGGAGACGAGAAGAGGCTTCACGTCTCCTAGAATTGGAGTTAAAGATAGTTGTTAGCTATGTTGGTACCAGGAATTGAACCCGGGTCCTCTGAAAGAGCAGCAGATGCTCTTAACATCTTTGCCATCTCTCCAGCTGGTTTTTTTTTTTCTGTTTTTAAATTTTTGTTTATTATGGTGTATGTGATGTGTGAGTGTGGACACACACCTCTTGGCACCCAGCATGAGTAAGGCCATGAATTCCATGCTTGGTGCCACAGAACACTGTTCCAGAACATACAGATAGCACATGGTCTTTCTTGATTGCTTCCTGCACCCTATCCCTCCCCCAGAGGTGACAGATGAGTCTTTTGCCATGTTTCGTGTGTGAGAAAGCCTCTCCTTGCCCCTGGGAGCTCAGTGTGGTTTGATGGTGAGGAATAGCCAGTTTCTTCCCTGGTCTACCTGCCATTCAAGTGAGGCAGCGCTGCGTGCAGGGCTCCTCATTCTGCCTTCCTTGCTTCCTTTGTTTGCTGAAATAAGGCTTCACCCTGTTGCCAGACTGGCCTTGAACTCACAACCGTCCTAGTGCTGGGACTACAGCCATGACCCCTATGCCCAGCTCCTCCCTCACTGTATACTGTGTCTGCACTTGGGGTTCCTGAGCCCAGTAGGAGTGCAGGGTGTGATTGAACTTGACACACTTGCTCACCCCCCCCCCCAGGTGCGCATCAAGATCCTGGCCAGCCTGGTAACACAGTTCGATTCTGGCCTCAAGGCCGAGGTGCTGTCCTTCATCTTGGAGGATGTCAGGGCCCGCCTGGACCTGGCCTTCGCCTGGCTCTACCAGGAGTACAACGCCTATCTGGCAGCTGGGGCCTCGGGCACTCTGGACAAGTACGAGGACTGCCTCATCCGCCTGCTCTCCGGCCTGCAAGAGAAACCAGACCAGAAGGATGGGTGAGGGGGTGGCTGTGAGCCCATCTCCCCTCTTGTATCCTGCTTCCCTTTTTTACTGATTGCCAAGCCAGTCTTCCCTGTCCCTCTGTGTCTCTGTTTTTCCTGCTCTCTCCAGAAGCTTGTGCAGACCATGTTATAAGGCTGTTCCCTGGGCTTGCTTCCAGTTCTGCTACTTGATCTGAGTGGCCTGTCACTCTCTCAGCCTGTTTCCTAACAGCTCCCACTGCTGGTGGCATGGCTCAGTGGTAGAGCACCTGTATAGCATGTAAGAAGTCCTGAGATAGCTGGGCATGGTGGTGCACACCTTTTATCCCAGCACCCCGAGGCATCGGCAGGCAGATCTCTGAGTTCAAGGCCAGCCTGGTCTACAAAGTGATTTCCAGGACAGCTGGGGCTACAGAGAGACCCTGTCTCAAAAAGACCAAAATTAAATAAATAAAAAGTCCTGAGTTGGCATCCCTACAACCACAAAAGCAAGAAGTAGCCTGGGAGAGGGAACATCCCTGCCCTATCTGTCAGCTCTCAGCTTTGGAGCATAACCTGTTGAAGCTCTGGACCCAGGGGGTAGATGAACTGTGTGTATGGTTGGGCTGCTGAGTTGCAGACTGCCTTGCTATACTTAATCCAGAAACACGTGTTTCTTGGGCAGGATTTTCACCAAGGTGGTGCTGGAGGCCCCGCTGATCACAGAGAGTGCCCTGGAAGTGATTCGCAAGTACTGTGAGGATGAGGTGAGCAGACTGCAGCTAGGGCAGGGGAAGCACAAGGGCCTAGTCCTTGAGACTTGGTCTGATAGGGGGAGGCAAGAGACAGTAGAGCTGAGCTCTGCTCCCCACCATGCTCCTGCCAGAGCCGAACCTACTTGGGCATGTCCACGCTGCGAGACCTGATTTTCAAGCGGCCGTCCCGCCAGTTCCAGTACCTGCACGTCCTCCTAGATCTCAGCTCACACGAGAAAGACAAGGTGAGCCTGTGCTCAGGCCAGAGCTTTCCCATCCCCAGCCAGCTGGCCTCTTCTCTGTTCTCGAAAGTTTGGTTTTGGTTTCTCCTGGTGTGATGCTGTGTAGAAGCCAGGGGCTGAGTAACCCTTCCCGGGTGTGCACGTGGCCTTCAATGAAGGCAGGTCCCTTCTTTCTTCCACCCACCAGGAGTTTCTCTTAAGGAGAAAAGGCTGGAGCCTAGGGCTCCACCACCTAGTGAGGAGCCCGTGTGATCACAGGCAAGATCACAGAGCAGAACGGCATGTGAACCCATGTAGTCTGGGTTCAACAAGCCTCCTGGAAGAGGGGGCATGTGAGATAACTGTGACAGGAAAGTAGGTGTGCTCTAGACAGGACATGTGTACAAGCTGTGGCTGGCCAGGCCCTGGAGCCATGCCTGCTCCAGCTTCCTCCCTGGTAGCATGAGTTCACTCAGCACACCTTCATTGCAGCACTTCTGGCCGTGTGCTGCTGTTTGGGACAAAGCCATGCCTACGGCCAGACGGTGTTCTCATGGCTCCTAGCAGATGGTGTCTGAATAAAACAAGATTTAGCCAGCAGAGGCCTTCTAAGGCAGTTGGGTGCCCACGGTTCCAAGTTTCATTTGGCAGGAAGTTTCTCCACTGAGGAATGCAGAATGGCTGTCTCTGCCTAGAGGGAGTGAGCAAGGCAGCAAGTGGAGACAGCTGAGGAGATTGTACAGCGCGGCTGCAGGCCCAGCAGCAGCCACTGCGCACTGTCCTGAGCCTTGCCTTCCTCAGTGGGGCCACTTTACAGCATGGCTCCATTTGCACTCTCCCCTCACCGTGTCCGCTGTCCTTTCAGGTGCGCTCCCAGGCCCTACTCTTCATCAAGCGCATGTATGAGAAGGAGCAGCTTCGAGAGTATGTGGAAAAATTTGCCCTCAACTACCTGCAGCTCCTGGTCCACCCCAACCCGCCATCAGTGCTGTTTGGAGCTGACAAGGACACAGGTTTGATGCAGATCCATCCAGTGCATGTTGAGCCCTGCCAAGCCAGCTAGAGGCTGCTGGACAGTAGGCAGAGAACAGGACCAAGACAGACCACAGGGGACCGCAGCAGGGAAAGGCCCAGAGGACCAGGAGAGCAGCCTGGCAGGGTTCCTGGGCCATCTCAGACCTCGTCCCTCAGCAAAGTCCCAGGCCCTAGAATTACAGACAAGAAGCCTGGCTGGGATGTGGGACGCCCTCACAGGAGAGGGGGTGAGGCTCAGGGAGGAGAAGATGTAGGCAGAGATGGTGGTTCCCGCAGAGGAGGCAGTGGCACTAGGGCTTGGCAGCAAGGGCCCCTCTGGAGGCTGTAAGAAGTGACTGGCATGGAGGGTGGCAGGATGGCCAGGTGCAGCAGGCAGGTGGGCTGCCCCTTGCAGTGCCTGGCAGATAGCCAGGGTAAGGACATTAACCTTGAGGCACAGGCAATCGTGGCAGGGCTTGGAGGAAACAGAGTCAGAATTGTACTTTATTTTGTGGGGTGTTTTTTTTCCCCTGGTGGAGGACCCAACTGAACCAGGGCCTTGTGCTTGCTAGGCAAACTCTACCACTGAGCTGATTCCCCAACCCCAGGATGAGGACTTCTGTCCCCACCTTCTAGCTGCCTTGGGGCTTGGTGGTTGGAGGAGGTCGAGGGGTCTTGCTCCTCCCTGACCCACCTCCTCTCCCCACTGTCCTGGTCCCGGAGAAGGGACAGATGCTGGGGACAGAGCTCTGGGAAGGAAGTATTGACACACAGCACTGTCTTGTCAGAGGTGGCGGCCCCCTGGACGGAGGAGACTGTGAAGCAGTGTCTGTATCTCTACCTGGCCCTCCTGCCTCAGAACCACAAGCTGATCCATGAGCTGGCGGCTGTGTACACCGAGGCCATTGCTGACATCAAGCGGACAGTCCTCAGGGTCATTGAGCAGCCGGTGAGGCCCCTTAGCCCACCTGGGCAGGGCAGAGTCCAAATCCACCTGCTCCCCAGCAAGTGCTAGGCACAGAGGGCTGTTACCTCTGTGGCCCTGGTTCGAGTGCATCTTATGCCATTCATGAGGAGTCATGGGGTGGCCCAGCAGTGGAGTCTGGAGTGGGGTACACCTGGGTTCATGCTCTGCCTCTGTTCTCACTGTGCCCTAACATGGGGGTACAGTCCAGTCATACCCTGCCCCTCCCAAGTAGCAGCAAGGAGTCTGTACACTCACCCAGCATCTGAACCACCGTAATGGCTTTTGTTGGTGTTCCTGAGTGCCATTAACAGCAGGCTTTAGCTCCCTCTGCCTTCTCCCCACAGCCACAGGGCACTTGGGAGAAAGCTCAGCAGTCCGCCAGCACCTGAAGGTGAAGTGGCTGCCCTGACTGTTTTTTCACAGGGCCTCACCACCTATGCTGCATAGGCCAGACTAACCTCAGACTAGAGATTCTTCTACCTCAGCCTCCTGAGTGCTGGGGTTACAGGTGTGAACAGCCATGCCCTTCTGACTTTATTATAGAACATTACCAATAGGAACAGGGAGAAGGGCCAGGGGTGTAGCTTATCTAACATGCTTAAGCATGGATTCCATCCCCAGCATTGCAGAAAAGAAAAGCCAGGCATGGTGGCACATGCCTTTAATCCCAGCACTCGGGAATCAAATGCAGGCAGATTCCCTCTCTCTCTCTCTGTGAGTTTGAAACCAGCCTGGTCTATGTAGTGAGTTCCAGGCCAGCCGGGGCTACAGTGAATCTCAAAGAAAGAAAAAAGCAAACAGTACTAATCAGGAATGATGGATTAAGTGTCCAGGAGTCCTTCATACTGTGGATGAGGGCTCTAAGGGCACCTGGCTATTCCTGCCATTTATCTTGAAACAACTGCTGGCTTGAGTCTGACCTGTACTTTCAACCAGGCTGGGATGACAGCGGTCACAGGAAGGCGGGCAGGAGCCAGAAACACCCTCCTGGGCACCTACAGTGCAGCTTGAGCATTTGAGATTTGAGACAGTAGGGGACTAGCCTGCGAGGAGGACACCGCACACAGTCCAAGGCTGTGAGCTGAGACTCAGACCCAGTGACCCTCACCATCCCAGCCTCCCCAGTGCTCCCCCAGGACTCCCCCTAACCCCAGCATGCCTCCAGCCTCCTTAAGCTCTCACTAAAATCTGGTCCTCCTGATCTCCACATCTAGATCCGAGGAATGGGCATGAACTCACCTGAGCTGCTACTACTGGTGGAAAACTGCCCCAAGGGGGCGGAGACACTGGTCACACGCTGCCTGCACAGCCTCACAGACAAAGGTGCCTGGAGCCCCACCTTCGCCTACCCCCATCCTTGGGCATCACATTCCCTGTCTAGGGCAGAGTTATGTCAGCTGCATCTGAGAAATCAGGCTGCAGTTGGCTGCTCTGGAGTTGTGCTACCTTGCCTCCACATCAGCCTAGGCCTCCTCCCCTGAGCTCACCTCATCCAGTCTGCTCCCTACTACCACCCCAACCGTTTTTCTGCTGTCTTCCTGCAGTGCCACCCTCTCCAGAATTGGTGAAGCGGGTCCGGGACCTCTACCACAAGCGGCTCCCAGATGTGCGCTTCCTCATCCCCGTGCTCAATGGACTGGAGAAGGTAGGGAGCCAGCAGCCTGGCTGATCCCTTCAGGGCCTGCAGGGACAGGGACACACCCTTCAAGTGCTGGGTTCCAACAAGGCACTGCCCCTTGCGAGTTGTGAAACCGATGATGTCTCATCTCCGTAGAGATGGGAATGAGGAGGACAATGTCCACTTGAAGGGGCAGGCAGCAGGTTTGGAGGAGAGGGAAGGTATCAGAGAAGGCTTGGAGACCTTGCTGGGGAGAGCAAGTAGGGCTTATTGTGAGGGGGTGGGGCAGCATCCAACCCACTGTTATCCCCCACCTTGTTCCTTTAGAAAGAAGTGATCCAGGCCCTGCCCAAGCTCATCAAGCTCAACCCCATTGTGGTGAGGGAGGTCTTCAACCGCCTGCTGGGCACCCAGCATGGTAGGTGTGCACCCTCCCTGCCCAACTGGCCCCTGGCTTCCCTCCTGGCCAGGTAGGAAGTGAGGTGGGAAGGGTCCAGGGAGGCTACAGTGTCCTCAGGCCAGGGTTATTTTGTCTCAAATGCCAAGAAACAAACAACCAAAAAAAAACAAAAAAAATTACCCAGTGATGTGGAAACAACCCTCCATCTGTAGTCCCCAGTGGCTGCAGTTAGGAACACAGCAGAGGGATGTATTCAGAGCACCTTTGAGTTCTACCCCACCACTGTTACCACCACCACACACAGCAGGAGGCTACTTCTCTGTCCCAACACAGTGGAAGGTTCTAGCCACTTACTGTTCAGTCCAGTGCCTGGTCCTGCCCTAGCCAGCCCTAACCTGCACCTGCCCACAGTGCTGTGTGGACTCAGTGCTGGGATGGCTGGGCCCAGCCCTGCCTTTGGGATGCGCGACCCAGTGGGGAGTGAGAACAGTGGGGCCTAACAGTGGGATAGGGAGAGCAACAGAGTTCAGGTGGCTTTCTCTGTCTCCCCCAGGAAGCAGTGAGTGCCTCACCCGGACTCTCTGCTCCCCGAGTCTAGGGACTCACACCCCTCTTCTCTTAGGCCTTCATTCTGTTCCTTCCCCTACTGCCACCCACTGCAGGTGAAGGGAACTCAGCCTTGTCCCCGCTCAACCCCGGAGAGCTCCTGATCGCTTTGCACAACATTGACTCGGTGAAGTGTGACATGAAATCCATTATCAAAGGTGAGGCACCCCTGTTCCCACAGCGCCTACCCTGCAGACTGGAACCTAGGCCTTGGCCACCACATGGCCTTGCTGGGACATGCCACATTGAGGACTGCTACTCACTGTTGTCCCTGTCCTTTCCTACCTTCCCTCCTTGTAAGACACATTGGTGCCTCATGCACCCTGGCATCAGGTGGTCCTAGGGAATGAGGGCCATCCCTCCTGCCCTGGCCCAAAGGAACTGAAGGAAGTAGAGCCACAGAGGTATAAACAGGTGCCAGGCCCGAGTTAAGGCAGCTGAGGGCCTCCATGGTAGGGGTTGGTGACTGTCTGACTGGCTTTGCTCTCACAGCAGCCCAGACACTCCCTCCAAGCCAGGCTCTCCCTTCATGCCGTGGCCTGCTCCTGCCATCCACATGGCTCCTGTGTAGACAGGACGTGGAGTTCCGCAGAAGCTAAGCCATGTAATGGAAAACAGGATCTGGGCAAAACCTACTGAGCCAAGAGGGGCTCTGCCCACCACCAGCCTCCCCTAGGAAGACCATCCTCTTTCCCTCCTCCACAGGCTTTGGGCCAGAAGCAGCTCTTTCCCAGGAGGTGGGGGCCCTGCCTGTCGCCCTGTCCTCCGATTCCTCCACTCCCCTGGGTGTTGGGGTGTGCTTCCTCTGTCCCCGCCTTTCCTGTTCCAGCCTGAAGTGGCTTCTTCAGCGGTTCTTCCATAGCCTTCCTCAGCAATTCCTCAGACAGGAGAGGAGCTTGTGAAGACAGGACTGCAGGCACTAGGCCTCTAGGGAAAGGGAGCAGGAAGTGTCTCAAAGGTCACGGATAGGGGATATGGGCTTTAGTTTCCCTTATATACAACCACCACACATTCTTTATTTTAAAAAAATATGTCTTTAAAAAAAATTTTTTTAGCATGCTGAGAATGAACCCAGGGCCTCATACACACTAGGCAAGTGTTCTACCAACCAAGTTACACCCTCACTCCTCCTTGACCCCTTTGATGCACAGAAGAGTCTGTCTCTCCCACCCCCTAGTAGCCCACTCCCAAGAGCAGTCTAGTACTCTGCTCACAGTGTGCAGTTTGAAGGCCTAGCCTTGCTGTGGGATTCAGGAAGGGCTTACCAGAGGAGGGAGTGCCCCCTGAGCAGGAAGGGGGCTCGTTGAGGTGACAGTGGGGGAACCAGCTGTAGAGGCTGTGAGCTGAGCCCGGCTGGGTCTAGGGCTGAGGGAGGAAACTGGCCTTGGCTTTGTGCAGTACTTTGGAGGGAAGATACTTTGGCCATTTGGAAGACCCCTCAGGCTGCTGGATGGAAAGGATTAGAAACTTGAGTGGGAAGCCTAAGGCAGGCCTAAGTGGGCTCTCAGATCACCATGCACTGGAGCAGCTGCAGGGCGCACAACCTGCAGCCCTCAAGTCCTGGCTGGCCTCCTCTCTGCCCCTTCAGCTTGTCCCACTGCCTGCAGTGCCCACTCCTGTCTTTGGGTCCCCTCCTTGCAAGACCACCCTCCCCTCCGCCCTTGAGGATTTGGGGGACCTCTCCTGGCTCAATAAAGACTTCCTGGTTGACACTTAAACATGGCCAGTGGTGTTTGGGGAAGGGCTTCAGAGACAGCTCCTGGGAGCCCCATTAGCCCAGTCTTCCCCAACTCTGCCATCCACTCCCTGGAGAAGGACCCCAAGCAAGATCTGCATCCTCTGTTGTCACAGCTTTCTGCATCCTGCTGGAGCTAGGTGCTAAATTAGGTCCTCCTGTGCCCAGCCCCATCTCCCCTTGTCCCTCTCTCCCCTGCTTCTCTACTGAGTATCATACCCTTGTTAGCCTGGGTCAGCCTCTGCTGGAGGCCCACCTGTCCCTTCTAGAAGGGGCTAGCAGACATCTAACCCCAACCATCCAGCAGGTTTCTGCTGCCCCTTTTGGGCCAGGCAAACCCTAGGAGTTGGTATGTCCCCTGGCGCCTCAGGGCTGTCCTCCCAAAGATACTGAGGTGTCCCCATGGCCCAAGCATGGGGTTCCCTGGGGTTTGACACACCTGTCCCAGTCATTTTGGGGACAGGACCACAGGTGCTTTCATAAGGAGCCTTTAAGAGTTGGGGGTGGGGAAGTTTGGGCAGTGGGGCTCCCACTTCCCTGGGGACAGCCCGGCAGGGAGGACAGGCCCACTCTCCGCCTCCCCGCAGCCACCAACCTGTGCTTTGCGGAACGGAACGTGTACACATCGGAGGTGCTGGCCGTGGTGATGCAGCAGCTGATGGAGCAGAGTCCCCTGCCCATGCTGCTCATGAGGACCGTCATCCAGTCCCTCACCATGTACCCTCGCCTGGGGGGCTTCGTTATGAACATCCTGTCTCGCCTCATCATGAAGCAGGTAACCTGCCTGGGCCATTTACCCTGGCAGTAGGCAGAGAAAGAACCATAGTGAAGTGAATTCCAGAGGGCCTAGGAGCTGGATCCAGACTCTGGGACCCCTGCCCTGCCTCTTGCAGTGTCCTCTCTGACTGGTGGCTGCAGAGTGGCCAGTGAAAGTAGCTGGGGGGAGGGATGCGACGAGAGCATCATGGGCGGCCACTCAGACAAGATTTAGGGTTTGGTTTTTTGGGGTTTTTTTGTGCTTTTTGTTTTTTGGGGCAGGGTCTTGCCAAGAACTCACTCTATGTAGGTCAAGCAGGCATCAAACTCATGATCTTCTTGACTCACCTCCCAACTTCTGGGATTACAAACATGAAATACCATGCCCAGCTAGAAATTAGGGCTTTTAGAAATACCATGTGATGATGACCAAAGGTAGCCCCCACCGCTAGACCAGGCTGAGTCTAAAGACCAGGCTCAGCCCCACCCATCTGGTGGGGAATTAGATATACCTGTGGCCAGTCTTGCCCCCTCCTGAGCCTGAATGGGACCCTGCGCCTCTAGCCTGTTTAACGCGGCCAGTGGCGCCCTCTAGAGGCGGCTGTGAGAACAGCATGACATGGTGCTGGCCTAACCCTTGGTCTAGCGCCGATTTGGATTGGGGGAGAAATTGGGGACCTTGGTGCTGTCTCTTATCTCGGTTGTCTTCCCGGTCCAGCTTCCTGATAAGGAAAGTAGCATCCTCGAGGGAAGGCAGGTGTATGTAGCCAGAGGAAGATGTCAGGGTGTAGGGTGTGGACCCCGATCTTGGGCCATAGGGATCTGCCTAGGGCTGCTCCTAATAGCTCCCTCCTGCCCCGTTCAGGTGTGGAAGTATCCCAAAGTGTGGGAGGGCTTCATCAAATGCTGCCAACGCACCAAGCCCCAGAGCTTCCAGGTCATCCTGCAGCTGCCACCACAGCAGCTGGGTGCTGTCTTTGACAAGTGCCCTGAGCTCAGGGAGCCACTCCTGGCCCACGTGCGCTCCTTCACCCCGCACCAGGTACCTCAGGGCGGGGCTCAGCAGGCAGGGTGGAAAGGGGCTCTGCACTTCCACCGAAGGGCGGGGATGCAGGGTTATGGGGTGCCCCAGAGGGTCTCTCATTCATTTGCACAGCACCCTATCCTACCCTTTACCTAGCAAGCACATATCCCCAACTCCATCATGACCATCTTGGAGGCCAGTGGCAAGCAGGAGCCGGAAGTCAAGGAAGCACCTCCAGGGCCCCTGGAAGAGGTGAGGGCGCTGCAGCCCACCCACCTGGGTCCTTCATCCCAAAAGGCTCGGCTCTGAAGCCTGCAACTGGTAAAACGGAATGGGAGGGGCCATCTTGCTGTGCCAGTAGAGAGCCTATGGAGCGTATACTTCTTGCTCCCAATAGCTTGGTGGGCTGTCTCCCCCATCCTTTATGGGCACCCTCCCAGAGCTGTGCGCCCCTTCCCGCCCCAGGATGACCTGGAGCCCTTGGCTCTAGCGCCGGCCCCGGCCCCGGCCCCAGCCCCGCGGCCCACTCAGGACCTCATCGGCTTGCGCTTGGCCCAGGAGAAGGCCCTGAAGCGGCAGCTGGAGGAGGAGCAGAAGCTGAAGCCCACCGGAGTGGGAGCGCCGACCGCCACCTCGTCGTCGTCCTCCTCGGCCCGCCCTGGTCCTCCCCAGGCCGAGGAAGCTATGGATTTCCGGGAGGAGGGGCCCGAGTGTGAGACCCCAGCCATCTTCATCAGTGTGGACGACGACTCCGGACTGGCCGAGACCGCGCTCCTGGACTCGAATCTCGAGGGACCCCTGCCTAAGGTAGGGGCAGGATCAGGGCCGCGGGATGGGGACGAGGGTGCCACCTCGTCTTGACCTGCTGCCCCTTGCCTTCTCTGGCCACCAGGAGGCAGTAGCGGTTGTGCCGACCCCCAAGGATGAGAGGAGCCCTCAGAACCTCGCCCATGCTGGGGACGACGCGGTGAAAACCTCCAGCTTGGAAGCCGGGGAGCCGGAGAGCAAGGGGAACAGCTGACGCTGCGGCAGCTTGTGGGGAAGGGGCCGGGCTACCTGGAGCTTTGCCTTAAATAAAGGAGGTGGCTCAGGGCGCCCTGCCGTGTCCTCTCTGCGCGCGCTGGTCAGAGTCCGGAAAGGCCGGAGGGGGCGCCTGCGCGCACCCCACTCCTCTTGCAGGCGCCCCGCGCCTGGGTAACGGCCTAGTGCTACTGGTGCTGGGACCCCCGCAGTGGCCGGCTTCTCTTGTTCACACCCATTTTCAAGACATGGGGGAGCCACCGCCCAACCCTGACCCCTCTACCCAGAGTCCAAAGACTTCCCAAAATTCAGACAGGCGCAGTCGGGAGGCCTCGCAGCCCCTGATCACCATCCTGGAGGATGTGCTGCGCAGACCTCCGCAGCAGAGCAGTCAGGGCGCACCCCTGCCCGACATCCCCTGGACACAGAGGGCCAGCCTGACCGAAGATGATAACCTGGCCGAGGAAGGCCCTGAGGGCGGCATAGAGTACCAGCCCAGGAGCCCAAGCTACCCGGCTGGCTTTTCCTTGGAGTTCCCGCCGTCACAGCAGTTCTTCCTGGACGAGAGTGGGATGATGCAGCAGTATCTGGAGGGCCAGGGCCTCTTCCTCCAGCAACTGGAGTCCACCTACCAGGACCCGGGCACCAACCTCATGGGCCAGTTCAGCATGTACCAGAGAGAAGACCAGCTGTTCGGCCAGGCCACCCAGCACGGGCCCTACCTGAGGGATGACCCTGCCCTCCTCCTAGGGCCCTCTGATCTGGGCTTCATGCCCTTCATGGGAGAGGTCCCTGATCCCGAACCCCGTGAGCTGGCAGTGCAGAACGCCAAGGCCTACCTATTGCAGACCAGTGTGAACTGCAACCTCAGCCTGTGAGAGAGGGTGGGAGGTGGAAAGGTGGGGACCAGGCCAGGAAGGGCCCTAGCCAAGGTTACTTAAGGCCCTAGGGTCTCTGAAATGGGAGGTTGACTCTTTAACTGCATCTGCCAATCACTTTTGGCAGCTAACCCAGGAGAGTTGGGGAAGAAATAGTACCTGGAGCTGACACAGTGGTGCACATTCCTCCCTGACATCTAGTCACCACTGAGATTAGTACAGCAGCTGAGCGTATTTTTACAGGAGACTGAACCAGAGAGGTTAGGTTGCTTATCTAATATCACACAGCCAAGATGCAGGACAGCCAACATTCTAGGACAAGGCATCTGGCTCCCAAGGCCCTCTTGTCCACTAAACTAATCTTCCCAGAGCCACTGAGCTGGAGTCAGTTCACCCTTCCCCCTTCCCTTAGGTCCCTTATAGAGAATGGACTATAAACAAGAGACAAGGCAAGGTTGATGGGTTCAGGTGACGGGAGTGAGGGGGTAGGAGAAGGCATTTGGGGGTTTTGTTTTTGGAGACAGGGTCTCACTCTGTAGCCCTCGCTGGCCTGGAACTTGCTCTGTAGACCAGGCTGGCTTGTAAATCAAAGAGATCCAACCTCCTCTCCTGGGGTTAAAGTCATGCTCCTCCACACCTGGCAATGGGGTTCATTTTGTTTGGGGACCTGAGGGAGTCGAGGCAAGGGCACTTCCAGATAGAAGAGTGGTCCCAGACACAGGGTACAGCACAGCCTTGAAAAGGAGGAGGCTGGTGTGTCTGGGCTCCAAGGAGGGAGAGTAGGAGGAAACCAGGCTGATGAAGCCATGCGTCTGCCTAAAGAGCAAAGCTGACTCCATCCCTCCCACTTTCAGAACTTGCTTTTTTTTAATTTTTTCTTTTTTTGTGTGTTTTTGAGACAGGGTCTTCCTGTAGCCCCAGCTGTCCTGGAACTCACTATGTAGACCAGGCTGGCCTTGAACTCACAGAGATCTGCCTGCCTCTGCCTCTGCCTCCCAAGTGCTGGGCTACAGGCGTGCACCACCATGCAGGCAATTAGTCCTGTTTCTGTTTAAAAACAAGAAAAAGAAAAGAATGTGTACATGTGTTTCTGTGCATATATGAGTGCAGTACCTCTGGCACTGAATCCAGAGGGCATTGAATCCCGTGGAGCTGTAGTTACAGGCAGTTGTAAGCCACCTGATATGAGTCCTGGGAACTGAACTCCAGTCATCTGCAAGAGCAGTACACACTCTTAATCACTGAGCCATCTCTCCAGCCCCACCCCTCCCTTTGTTGTTGTTTTGGTTTTGGTTTTTTTTTTTGAGACAGAGACTCAAACACTCAAACTCACAGAGATCTGCCTGTCTATGCCTCCCAAGTGCTGGGATTAAAGGCATGCAGCACCATGCCTGTGCACCCCCCCCACACACACTTTTAAAAGATTTTTAAAAATATATTTTTATTTTATGTGTACGAGTGTATTGCCTGTATGTATGTGAGTGTACCTGTATCGTGCAATGCCACGGAGGTCAGAAGAAGGCTTTGGGGTCCCCTGGAACAGGAGTTAAGGATAGTTTGTAACCACCATGTGGGTGCGGGGAATCGAACCCGGGTCCTCTGCAAGAGCAGTCAGTGCTCTTAACTGCTGAGCCATCTCTCCAGCCCCTTAAAAGATTTTTTTTTAAAAAAGATTTATTTATGGGGTTGGGGATTTAGCTCAGTGGTAGAGCACTTACCTAGCAAGCTCAAGGCCCTGGGTTTGGTCCTCGGCTCCGGGAAAAAAAAAAAAAAAAAGATTTATTTCGTTTCTTTGGCGTGTATGTGTATGCCTGAGTATATGAGCACCAAGTGTGTGTAGACAATTGTGAGCCACTGTGTGGGTGCTGAGAATCAAAACCAGATCCTCTGGAAGAGCAGCAAATGCTCTTAACTCCTGAGCCATTTCTCCAGCCCGAGATATTTTTTTGTTGATTTTGTGGTACTAGGTTTGAACCCAAGATTTTACCCATGCTAAGCAAGCACCTTACCAGTGACCCACATCCCCAGACCAGTCATATCTCTCCTTATCTTCCCAGTGTCAAGGAGGGTCTGTCCCCCACCACACTTCAGACTGTTCACAAAGAGGTTTGCACACAGCAGAAGAACACATGTAGATCTTTGGGATCGGACCAGCCTGGTTTCAAAAACTGCTGTGTCTCGACCTCAAGTTTCCTAAGTCCGCCTTCCTCGGCTAGAAAATGAGGGTCATAATTATTGTAAGGATTCAGTGTTGCTCTTGAAGTCTCAGCTTGGTGCCTGAATTAGCTGGCCAGAAGCCACAGGGGTAGTTTTCACTATGGCCTCCTCTCCCTTCTCAATCCTCCTCTACATGCTGGGCACCTGCCCCCATCCCGGCTAGGAACCCTGACACTTTTGCTGCTTCCATTCCAATCCCATTTATTTATTTATTTTTATTTTTTTTGTTTTGTTTTTCATGCCTTATTACATTGGCTGTGACCACTAAAACAATATTAAATTAGAAGTAGTTTAACCAGATGTTCTTGTTTGTGGCCAGCATGGGCTCCATGAGATCCTGCCTCAGAGGGGTGGGGAGGGAGAGAAGGAGAAACAGGAAGGAAAGAAGGGAGAGAGGGAGGAAGGAAGAGATACTAGCACTCCATGCTGACTGTATATAGCTGACTGCCTCCATAATCAGCATGTCAGTTTCAGCAGGGTAGGAACATTTTCTGCTCCCTCCTGTATCTCCAGCAGTAGATACAGGGTCAGCCACACAGCTGTAGGCTCAGTGAACTGAGTGATGTCCCCCACCTCCAACTCCTCCCTGGACGCAGGTACGAACACCTGGTGAACCTGCTGACCAAGATTTTGAACCAGAGGCCTGAGAACCCCTTGTCCATCCTGGAGTCTCTGAATCGCACCATGCAGTGGGAATGGTTCCACCCCAAGCTAGACACCCTTTGGGATGACCCTGAAATGCAGCCCACCTACGAGATGGCAGAGAAACAGAAAGCCCTGTTCAGCAGGGGTGGCAGAAGAGAGGGCGAACAGGAAATGGAAGAGGAGGTGGTGAGTGGGCTGGTGGGGAGGGACGGGAGGTGGGGTTGATGAGACCATCAATGGTCACAGTTAGTGCTGAGGTCTAGAACAGGAAGACTACAGAGTCTACTGTGTGTGAGTGTGGAGAGGGACAGAGGGCCTTGAAAGCCACATAAGCAGTATCTGGGACACCAAGGAATGCTTGGGAGAAAAGAAACAGCTGCTCAACCCTGTTTTAGAAAGCTGACTCAGGATGCCATACTGTTCATGGCAACAGAAACACCCTCAGGAAATAACAGTTCCCTGAAAACATATTTCTGTGATAACCCGCTGCCTCTCAGTCTCTGAACTAGGAACCAATTGCTTTCTTTCCTTCTGCTCAGTTTCCCCATTTATAACTTAAAGCCTGCTAAGAACTCTGCCACCCACAACCCAAGAACATTCTAGCATCCTCAGAAGATTTAGATTGATAGTCCTTTGTCTCCAGAATTGAATGAAGGCTAAAGCAAAAGGATTGTAAGTTTGAGGCTAACCTGAGCTACACAAAGAGGTTTCAGACCAGGCTGGGCTACAGCGTGAAACCTGGTCTCAATAATAATAATAACAATAATAATAATAATAATAATAATAATAATAATGGGCCGGTGAGATGGTTCAGTGGGTAAAGGCTCTTGTCACCAAGACTGGTGACCTGAGTTCCATCTCCTGGACCCACATGGTGGAGGAAATAACTGACTCCTGAAAGTTATCTCTGATCTACACACCCACACACTCATGAGCACACTGTAATGAAGTAACTTTGAAGCCCCCCCCCTTAGAGTGCCTGATCCCAGGAGGCCCACCTCCTTGGAACATTTAAAGTGCGTTGGGTTGCAAGTGACGGACCATCACCAACAGAGGAGTTTCTGTCTGCTAGAACAGGAAGGCTAAGATAGGAACGGCAATTTAGCAGTGTCCCTGAGGACCAGCTCCACATTCCCCCACATCACTACTAGGGTATAGGATATTGTCAGCCATGCATTGTCTATTGGTTCCCCAAAGAGCTGCTGTGACTCCAAGCTTCACATCCCCCATTTCAGTCAGGAAGAGAAGATGAGGGAGCTGAAGAATGGTTCACCAGTTAAGAGCACTGGTTGCTCTTGCAGAGGACCCAGATTGGGTTCACCAGCTCTATATGGCACCTCTCCCCTGTAACTTCAGTTCCAGGGAATCCAATGCCCTCTTCTGGCCCTCTGTGGGAACTGCATGCACATGGTGCACTTACATACCTGCAGGCAAATACTCATATACATAAAATCTTAAAAATAATAAAAAAAAAATTTTAAAGAGAGAAAAGGAGACCAGGAGTGGTGGTGCAGACCTTTAGTCCCAACCAAGCACTAGGGAAGCAGAGGCAGGCTGATCTCTGTGAGTTCAAGGCCAGCTTGGTCTACACATTGAGTTCCAGGCCAGCTGGGGCTACAGGGAGACCCTGCCTCAAAAAAAGATTGGGGGAAAAATGAGTGAGAAAAGGACTTTCCCCTGCTGTGGGTTTATCTTCTCTTTCCCATCAAAGTACACCCTCCCTACCAACATTCCTAAAACTGGTGGCATGCACAGCTGAGGTTTCTTGGCTTTAAGCTAGAAGGCTAGTGAGATGGCTCAGCAGGTCAAAGTACTCGCCTCCAGAGCTGATGAACTGAGTCCCATCCCCCAGACCCATATGGAGGAAGGAGAGAAGCACTCCTTCCAACCTTCCATCCATTCATCCTTCTGCAGACCGACAGCCCGGTGCCCAATATGATGGAGACTGCATTCTACTTTGAGCAGGCAGGCGTGGGCCTGAGCTCAGATGAGAGTTTCCGCATCTTCCTGGCCCTGAGGCAGCTGGTGGAGCAACAACCGATCCACACGTGCCGCTTCTGGGGCAAGATCCTGGGGCTGAGCCGTAGTTATCTGGTGGCGGAGGTGGAGTTCCGGGAGGGCGAGGAGGAGGAGGTGGAGGAGATGATGGAGGGCGAGGTCTTGGAGGCTCACGGCGAGGAGGAGGGCGAGGAGGAGGGCGAGGAGGACGAGGAGAAGGTGGTGGACCCGGTGCCCAAGCCACAGTGGAAGCCACCGCCCGTCATCCCCAAAGAGGACAGCCGCACGGGCGCCAACAAGTACCTGTATTTCGTGTGCAATGAACCGGGCCGGCCATGGACACGGCTGCCGCACGTCACGCCTGTGCAGATCGTGCAAGCCCGCAAGATCAAGAAGTTCTTCACCGGCTACCTAGACACTCCAGTCATCAGCTACCCGCCCTTCCCTGGCACCGAGGCCAACTACCTGCGCGCGCAAATCGCGCGCATCTCGGCCGCCACGCACATCAGCCCGCTCGGTTTCTATCAGTTCGGTGAGGAGGAGGGGGATGAAGAGGAGGAGGGCGGCGCGGGACGCGACTCCTTCGAGGAGAACCCCGACTTTGAGGGCATCCCCGTGCTGGAGCTCGTAGACTCTATGGCTAACTGGGTTCATCACATGCAGCACATCCTGCCACAGGTAAGGAACAAACTGCATCCCGGTGCCCAGCCCAGGACCCCACCCAAGCCGGCACAGGGAACCCCCGTGATGAGAGCATGCTGCTGCCCTCTGCTGGCCGCTGTGCTCCACGACGTCCCTCCACCCACCCTTCTGCCTACCCATTATCTACTTACTCATCCATCTGCGGATCCATCCACCTATCCACCTACTCATCATCCACCAACCCACCCACCCATCCACCCAACTACCTACCTATCCATTCACTCATCCACCCATCTATCCACCTGCCCACCTACCCATCCCTCCATCTCCCCACCCATCCATCCACCCATCCATCTACCCACTCACCTGTTCATCTCCCCATCCATATCAATCCATCTGCTCATACATCTACTCAAACATTCAACTGCTGGTCTAGCCACCTACACATCTACCTACTGGTCTATCTATCCATCTAACCACCTATCCAATTGTCCCTCCTTCTTTCCTTGAATTGGTTGACAGGAATGAGTTGATAATCTCCTGATGGAAGCTTTGGGATCAGGTGTGGTTTGGGTCTCTGGATCTTTCAGACTATAAAAAGCAGCTGGGCACACACACCACTCATTAGGACACAGGTCAGGTGAGGGCAGCACTGTGGTCAGAATGCAAACACATGGATATTTCTGCTTGAAACTGGAGTCATCGCTTATCAGCACAGGTCAGGGCTGTTTGCAGAGTAATTTCCCAGAAAAGTGTCTACAGTAACTAGTCCTAACAGTAGTTTTTTTCTTCCGTAGAACAAAGGCTTTTATGATTTTTGGATTTTGGACAGGAGGTTGGATTGCACGCCTTCTGGGTCCCAACTTCAGCCACAGGTTTAGTAATTCCAAGAAGATGCTGGGGCCTAACAACTTTTTAACTCATTTTTAATTTATTCATGCATTTATTGTGTGTGCCTGTGCGCACATGCTCAGGTTTAAGCTACCATAGCCAACTAAAATAACTCTAACTCCTTTGAGATTAGGACAAATACCATTCCCATTTCATCGTTGAGGAAACAGGAGTTGGTGCTATGCTACACAAGTGTCTGTTCATTCATTCATTATTTAAGAAGCATTCATGGGGCTGGAGAGATGGCTCAATGGTTAATGGCTACTCTTGCAAAGTATCCACGTTCCATTCCCAGCACCTACATGGCAACTAACAACCATCTGTAACTCCAGTTCCAGGAGATCCAACACCTTCTTCTGACCTCCTCGAGTATTGCATGACATGGGTGCACTTATGCACATGAGGCAATACACTCATACACATACAATAAAAATAATAAATATTTTTTTAAAAGAAGCATTCATTGGGGCTGGAGAGATGGCTCAGTGGTTAAGAGTGCCATACCGCTCTTGAAAAGGACTCAGGCTTCAGTTCCCAGCAGCCATGACAGGTGCTCATAACTGCCTGTAACTCCAGCTTCAGGGGATCCAACATCCTCTGCTGGCCTCTGTGGGCACCTCTGTGCTTACATGCACAAGCCCACAGTCAGACATACACATACACACATATATTTTTAAAATATATAGGTAGATGCACCCGTGTTGTGCAATGCCATGGAGGTCAGAAGAGATCTGCATAGCGAATCCCAGGCCAGCGAAGGCTATGATGTAGTGAGACCCTGACTCAAAACAAAACAAAACAAAACCAAAAACAGTGCCAGAAAGATGGCTCAGTGGATAAAAGGTGCTTGTTGACAAACCTGAGGATCTGCACTCCATCCCCAGAACCCAGAACCCAGAACCCACATGGTGGAAGGAGAGAACTAAGTCCTGAGAATTATCCTCTAACCTCCACATTTGTGCATAGGCGTGCCCACACACATACACACTAAATAAATAAATAGACAAACAATCAAATACATGTAAGCAAACAAAAAGTCAAGTATGGTACTTCACCTATAATCCCAGCACTCAGGAGTGTGAATAAGAAGGATCACTGCAGAGTCAAAGCTAGCCTGGTCTACATAGTGAGTTCCAGGCCAGCCAGGGCTATGTATCAAGACTTTGCCTCAGTAGTAAGTACTTCCCTAATCCTGGGTTTGATCATCAGTACAAGAAAGAGAGAGAGAAAGAGAGAGAGAGAGAGAGGGAGGAGAAAGAAGGGAGGGAGGGAGGACACGTGTGCTCATTGTCTTGAGGATACCATTGAACCCAATACCAACCCAGTGAAGGAGGCACAGGTGACCCTCCCACTTCACAGATAGCAAATGCAGCAGTCACCCAAGGAGAGAAATATTGAGGTCTCTCTCCTCACAAAGGTGTCTCAACACCCAGTGTACACTGAATCTGGGACTCCTGAGTGAGTAGGAGTCTCTGTCACTGGGAGGCAAGGGCCCCCAGCTCACAACAAACTCCCAGCCTATTCCTGTCCCATAGACTAACCGACTACTCCTGGATCCCAGAGGACAGGATCAGTGTTCGAGTGTCCCACCTGACCCTTCACTTCCTCCCCTAGCAGGCTAGACTGTGCCTTAGAGTGCCGCCTGACCTTCCTGTTGCACCCTCAGGGCCGCTGTACCTGGGTGAACCCTTTGCAGAAGACAGAGGAGGAGGAGGAGTTGGGGGAGGAGGAAGAGAAGGCAGATGAGGGGCTGGAGGAGGTGGAGCAGGAGGTCGGACCCCCGCTTCTGACCCCTCTCTCGGAAGATGCAGGTAAGAGTCCATGGATTGGGGCAGGTGCAGGGCCAGTCTGGGAGCGGGTGGTGGGAAAGGGAGTGAAGCAGATCCTTGGGCCACAGGTGCCTCACACCCTCTGAGCCCCAGTGGCTTTTTCTTATATAAAATGAGCATCAGGCTGGGTCTGGTGGCACAAGCCTGTAATCCCAGCTCTTGAGAGGTAGAAGCAGGAGAATCAGGAGTTCAAGGTCATCCACAGGTACCATAATAGTATTGAGACCAGCCTGGGCTACATGAGACCCTGTTTCCAAAAGAACAAAATTAAAAAATGAGCATTATAGCTGGGTGTGGTGGTGTGTATGCCTTTAATCCCAGCCCTCAGGAGGCAGAGGCAGGCAGGATCTCTGTGAGTTCAAGGCCAGCCTAGTCTACATAGTGAGTTCCAGGACAGCTGGAGCTACAGGGAGACCCTGTCTCAAAAAGACCAAAAAAAAAAAAAAAAAAAAAAAAAAAAAAAAAAAGAGCATTAGGACACTGCCTTTCTCACAGGGCTGGGAGATTGTGTTCATACTGTCAATAAACCACATCTGGTACACTGCAGTGACCTTGGAATATGGTCTCTTTCCTTTTTTATTTTGGGGGTTGTCATGGGCATTGCTGTTTGAGGCAGATCTCTTTTTAAAAAAAATTTTTTTTTATGTGTATAGTGTTTGCATGTATGTAAGTGAAACCATTTCATGCAATGCCAGCAGAGGCCAGAAGAGGGCCCTAGATCCTCTGGAACTAGAGTTTCAGGCAGTTGTAAGCTGCCATGTGGGTGCTGGGAACTGAACTAGATCCTCTGCAAGAGCAGCCAGTGCTCCTGATTGCTGAGCTGTCTCTCCAGCCCCCAGGTCTCTTTGCCCAGGCTGGCCTTGAACTCTCATTGATTCTCTTCAGCCTTCTGAGTGCTGGGATTATAAGTGTGCTCCCCTACACCTAGCTGGGATATGATTTTTTGAGCCCTACCTGGGTTTGGGAGAGATAAAGAGCTCTGCCAAGGGAAATAGGCTGGGAGCAGGATGTTGTGTGAATGGACAGGAATTCCCTGAGGTTGAGGCACTTGGAGGAAGAGAAAGGAGACTGGGCTACATACAGCCCAGGGCCTGTGCACTGCCCCTCAGCATCCTGGTCAAAATGCACAGCTGGATTGAGAGAAGAGTCCCATAGCTCCCTGCAGGCAGCATGCTCCCTAGGCCTTACTTGCTACCTTGCCAGGTGGCATGAGCATCTTCATTTCCTGGGTATAGTCACTGAGGCACAGGCAGGTGAACAGGCTTCCTGGGGACACACCAGGAGAGAGAGGCCCTGGGGCCAGGTTCCAACACCAAATCCCATGCTATTAGTTGTTGCTCCTGCCTTTTGCAGAGTTCCTCCTCTCTCTTCTCTCTGCATGCCCCAGGGGTGGGGGGACGGGACAGGACTTGGGGACCCCCTGACCTCACTGCCCCTCTCATCCCCACTACAGAAATCATGCACCTGTCGCCGTGGACCACCCACCTCTCATGCAGCCTCAGCCCACAGTACTCAGTGGCAGTGGTGCGCTCAAACCTCTGGCCAGGGGCCTATGCCTATGCCATTGGCAAGTACGTCTTTCTGTCCCAGAGGGTCCACGGGGGATAAAATAAGAAATCTCAAGACCAATCAGGGCTTGGTGGCTTAAGCCTATAATCCCAGTGTTCTAGTTTGTTTCTCCATTTTTGTGACAAAACACTCTGACCAATACCAGCTTGGGGAGGAGAGGGTTTATTTGCTTACATTGTCATTATTTGGCTTCATCAGGGAGCCCAAGGTAGGAACTCAGGGCAGGAATCTGGAGGTGGAGCCGAAGCACAGGCCATGGAGGAAAGCTGCTTACTGGCTTGCTCCACTGACCCCGATCAGCCTGATTTGTTTTTTAAATATATATATTATTTTTATTTTATGTGTTTGCCTGTATTGCCTGCATGTAGGTAAGTGAGCCCATGTTGTGCAATGCCCATGGAGGTCAAGAAGAGGCTGTTGGATCCCCTGGGACTGGAGTTACAGACAGTTGTTAGCTGCCATGTGGGTGCTGGGATTTAAACTCAGGTCTTCTGCAAGAACAACCAGTGTTCTTAACCACTGAGCCATCTCTCCAGCCCTTAGCCTGCTTTCTTATACAACATAAGACCACCTGCCCAGGTGACACCATCCAGAGTTGACTGAGCCTTTACATATCACTCAATAATCAAGAAGATGCCCCACAGGTATGGCCACAGGCCAGTCCAATGGAGGAAGTTCCCCAGTTAAGGCTCCCTCTACCCACATGTGTCAAGTTGACAACTAAAGCTGTCCAGCACACCCAGCTACTTGAGAGGCTGAGGCAGGAGGATCTTGTGGACACAGTTCACAGCCAGCCTGGGTAGCACAGCCAGAGCCCATTGCTGACCATCATATCCCAAACCAAGGGTGTGAGCTTCCTGGATGAGAGAGGGATGAGGGACTGGCCCAAGGTCACATGACACTTGTAGGATGTAGACCTGGATTTCCAGCCCTCTTACAACAGGGGTGGGAGTCAAATTTCTGTCCTGGGTCCCTAAACAACTCTTTCTATTGTAAAGATATTCTCTCTATGGGGAAGAAATCTTCCCTACCAGAATTCCTGTTCCTTGTTCTTGAAGGACTAGCCTGAGTCACCCCCGCCAGCTGCAGTATGTCATTCAAGTCTCTCTAGAGGGGCTCCCAGTCCTGCACAGCCTGGAGAGCCTGACTACATTATCCACTCTGGCCACCAGAGGGCAGGGCCTTTCCATTTGCAGTTTGAATACTCACTGCTTTATTGGGTTTTTGTGCTCAAAACTAAGAGCAGGGTTTAGTGGCTTGAGCCTATATTCCAGTGTTCTAGTTTGTTTCTCCATTTTTGTGACAAAACACTCTGACCAATACCAGCTTGGGGAGGAGAGGGTTTATTTGGCTTGCATCATCATTATTTAGTTTCATCAGGGAGCCCAAGGTAGGAACTCGGCAGGAAAGGATTTCATGGACACTTGATACTTTAACCACATTCTTATCTATTATTATCTTGTCTGAGATTAGACTTTTTCCAACTCCCTATTCTAGCTATTAATGGGGAATATTATACAGATTTACAGTGAAAAAGAGCAAATGGGGCAGAAAGAAATACAGAATGTACAGGATGGATTGAAAACGAGCGCTAGGAAGATGGAGCCAGGGCATGTGCTGGAGAGGATCATTTGATAAGGAGATTAAAGTGATTAAGGAGGGGCCTAGAGATTCAAACACAAACAGTGGTGAGAGTGCCTCCAGGGCAAGACCACACCCAGCTAAGCCTCCAACTTGTGAAAGGAAAATGCTGCAGGGGCCACTGAAGAGAAAAGCTTCTAAACTGGATAAAGCAGGCTGGAGTCCACCCCAAACTGGCAGTCAAACTTGGCAGTGTCCTTCCCTTCACCTGGTGCTGGCTTTAGAGGCATGAAAGATGCAAGAGTGAAGGGTCATCAGTTCTTCCTTCATGGTTTCAGAGAGCCGCTGAGGCCTGGCAGTGTGCAGCAGGGGTATCTCTGCCTAGAGAAGGCCCTGAGAGGCCACTGCCTGAAGCTGTGAAGCTGAAGCCTGGTTGGCAATGGAGACCCCAAACGTTCGGGATGCCAGAGCTGTGAGGCATCTGCCAAGAAGACCTGCATACAGGGAGTGGTACCAGCCTAAGAGAGAGATGTGTGCTGCACGCAGCAAAGCTGGAGAGGCTGAGTCATCTAAGCCCTTTGGAAGTCCCAGAAGTCAGACATGGAGCTACTGGATTTGGTGTTCATCCTGCTGGTTTTTGGTCTTGTTTTGATCCAGTATTTCCTCCAGTCCTCCCTTTTGGAATGGTAATGTGTATTCAGTTCCACTTTATGTTGGGAGTATGTAATTTGCCTTTTGATTTTATAGAGGCTTACAGTTAAGATATTTACCTGAGTCCACTTTGGACTGTGGACTTTTGAATAGTATTGAGACTGATAATGACTATGGGGACTTTTAAAGTTACACTAAATACATTTTGCATTTTATATGATCATGAGCCTATGGGATAGGGCCAGGGGGTGGAATGTGATGATTTGAATGAAAATATGCCCCATAGGCTCCAAGTATTTAGATATTTTGTCCCCAGATGGTGGTGCTGCTTTGGGGAGGTTTTACAAGGTGTAGCTATCCTGGAGGAAGTACGTCACTGGGGGTGGTCTTAGAGAGCTCTTAAGCCTTGCCAGATTTCCAGCTGCTCTCTTGCTTCCTGTGCCTGTGTGATGATGAGAGCTTAGCTTCTGCTGCTCCTGCTCCAGCCACCTCCAGCCACCATGCCTCCCTGTCATGACGGAATGTAATTCCTCTGGAACCGTAAGCTCAAATAAACTCTTCCTTCTATAAATTGCTTGGGTCAGTGTTTCTATCACAGCAACAGAAAAGTGACTAATACAGCTGGCCTTTGCTCAGCTGCCTTATTATACAATTGAGGACCACCTGCCAAGGTGTGGCACTGCCCACAATGGACTGTGCTGTCTCACATCAATTAGCAATTAAGAAAATGCCTCATAGACATGGCCACAGGCCAGTCCCATGGAGGAAATGCCTCACTTGAGGGTCCCTCTTCCCAGGTGTACCAAGTGGACAACTAAAACTATCTAGCACATGTAGCCTGTAGGAGGCCCTGGGTTCAATCTCTGCGAGTTTGAGGCCAGCCTGGTCTACATAGTGAATTTCAGGCCAGCAAAAACAAACAACAACAACAACAGAAAAACCCCTTAAGCTTAGCCAGACATTTTGATGTACATGTATACCTATAACCCCAGCACTGAAGGTGAGGCAGGAGGATCTCCAGGTAACCGTCAGCCTGAGCTACATGGTGAAACAGTCCCCCAAAGAGAAAAAAGAGAAAAAAGGAGAAAGAAAAAACAGGTTCATGGACCAAATTGTTCCAGGACTACTTGGAGGTTTTCCAATAACCAAATTATCAGTTTTATTTTTAAAATTGAAATTAACTAAAATGAAATAAAACCCACTCCACCCAACAACAGCAAAAACACACATTCTTCTCAAGTGTCCACAGAAACACTGCAGGACAAGGCAAACTGAGTCATCAGACAAGGCTCAGTAAAGTTGTGAGAGGACTGAAATCATGCCAGATGTGTTCCATGACTACCTAGGAATGAGATCAAAAATCAAGAGAAGGAGGGAGGAGCTGGAGAGATGGCTTAGTGGTTAAGAGCACTAGCTGCTCTTGCAGAAGACCTGGGTTCAGTTCCCATCGTCCATGTGGCAGCTAACAACTGTCTGTAACTCCAGTTCCAGGGTATCCTATGCCCTCTTCTGACCTTCGTGGGTACTGCATACACATGGTGCAATTACGTGTAGGCAAAAACACTCATACCTAAGATAAATCAAAATAAATAAAAGAAAGGGAAGGAGCAATGAAATTCACAATATGAAACCAAGACCCAATAGATTCGGAAAACATGAGGGACTGGGGAGATGACCCAGTTGGTGACAGGCCTGCTGCCCAAGCATGAGGACCTGAGCTCCAAAAGCCAGGGGCAGCAGTGTGCATGTGTAACCCCGGCTGTAGAGGAGGCAGATGGAGACAGATGGTTCACTGGTCAGCCAGTACTATAAAATAGAAGACTTCAGGCTTGGTGAAGAGAAGCTGTTTTAAAACATAGGTGGAGGGGCTGGAGAGATGGCTCAGTGGTTAAGAACATTGGCTGCTCTTGCAGAGAACTCAGGTTTGATTCCCAGCATCCACATGGCAATTAACAACTGTTGTCCATAACTCCAGTTCCAGAGGATCTGATACCCTATTCTGACTTCCATGGGCACTTACACACATGCAGGCAATACACTTATACACATAAAATAAAAATACTAAAAAAAAAAACATAAAAAAAACAGGGTGGAGAGTCAGATATGGTGGCGCATCTTTTAATGCCAGCAGAGGCAGGTGGATCTCTGTGAGTTTGAGACCAGCCTGGTCTACATAGTGAGTTTCTGACCAACCAGGGCTACATAATGAGAACCTCTTTCAAAAAAAGGGGGACATGGTTTGGAGAGATGACTCATGGGTTAAGAGCACTGGCAGAGGACCTGGTTTTGGTTCCCAGCACCCATGTGGCAGCTAACAACTGCCTGTAACTCCAGGGGATCTGACACCCTCTTCTGGCCTCTGCAGACATTGCACAACATGGTACACTTACATACATGCAGGCAAAACACTCATACACATTGATTTAAAAACAAAAACCATGAAAGTGAAGAGTGATGGAGGACACTATCTGAGATTGACCTCTGGCCTACACACACACACACACACACACACGCACACGCACGCACGCATGCATAGATGAACACATACAGAAAAACTAAGTTCAGTTCCCTCAATTGCTAGATGGTCTCTCCGGCTGTTGTCATGGCCACTTTAGATCCCGCCTGTACAGCACAGGCGCTTAGGAAAGCTTTGAAGAATGGACAGATGGACAGAAAACCCTGGTGGGGAAGTTTCATCTGACTCCAAGTGACTACAATCATGCTATGCCCATGTTCTATCCCTCTAGGAAGTTTGAGAACCTCTATATCGGCTGGGGTCACAAGTACAGCCCAGAGAACTTCAACCCACCCCTGCCAGCACTGATTCAGCAGGAGTACACCAGTGGCCCAGAGATCATGGAGATGAGCGATCCCACAGTGGAGGAGGAGCAGGCCCTGAAGGCTGCCCAGGAGCAGGCCCTGGCTGCTGCCGAGGAAGAGGAGGAAGATGAGGAGGAGGAAGATGAGGAGGATGTGGAAGACTGAGCTCCCCAAGCTCCTTCCTACAGGCTTTCTACCTTCAAATAGTTAGTTATGATTATATTTTCCTGTTGGCTGCCCTTGCAGGGCCTGGGTAGAGAGGACCGAAGCTGTGCTAAATAAAATTCCCCTATGGCATAGTAGCTGAGTCACGAGTTCATTCATTACCCTGTTGACTCAGACAAAAAGCCAGGAATTTGGGGTTCTTCCTGGACACAGACATTCACTGACCTAGTTACTTCAGTGTTTTTATTTTTGTTTTTTTATATTTTAAAAATATCTTACTATGGGCCAGGCGTGGTAGTACACGCTTTTAATCCCAGCACTTGGGAGGCAGAGGTAGTCTGATCTCTGTGAGTTCAAAGCCAGCCTGATCTACATAGGGAGTTCCAGAACAGCTGGGGCTACAGGGAGACCCTGTCTCAAAAAAGACCCTCCAAAAAAATCTTACTATTTTATGTGTATGAGTGTATTGCCTGCATGTATGTAAACCTGTGTTGTACAGTGCTCACAGAGGTCAGAAGAGGGCATCAAATCCCCTGGAACTGGAGTTACAGATGGTTGTTAGCCACCATGTGGGAGCTGGGAACTGAACCCAGGTCCTCTGCAAAAGCAGCCAGTGCTCTTAACTGCTGAGCCATCTCTCAAATCCCTGAATGTTTTTTAAAAATATTTTTATTTTATGTATATGTGTAAGTTTATGTGCACCATGTGTGTGTACAGTGTCCTTGGAGACCAAAAGAAGGTGCTGGAGCCTCTGGAGCTAGAGTTACAGGTGGTTGTGAGCCTCCTGATGTGGGTGCTGGGAACTGAACTCCAGACCTTTGGAGGAGTAGTAAGCCTTCTCAACCCTGAGCCCTCTCTCTCACTGATGCCTCCATGCTTTTTGTTCATTCATTCATTCATTCATTCATTCATCTAACCATCAAACCATTATCATTATTTTTTAGACAGGGTCTTACACCGTAGCTCAGGTTGGCCTGGCACTCACTATGTAGCCCAGGCTGGCTTTGAACTTATGGCTATCCTCTGCTTTTGCCTCCTAAGTTCTGGGAGTATTATTGCAGGCTGACTCAGACCTAACTCTTTCTCTTTTTTTGTCTTTTTGAGACAGAGTCTTTCTGTAGCCCCAGCTGGTCTGGAACTCGCTCTGTAGACCAGGCTGGCCTTGAACTCTCAAAGATCCCTTGTGCCTCTGCCTCCGAAGTGCTGGGATTAAAGGCGTGCACCACCACATGGGGTCTAACTCTCTTTTTTAAAGGTTTTATTTATTTTTTAGGTGTACATTTTGCCTGTATATATGTATGTGCACCACAAACACCAGAAGAGGGTAGAGGATCCCTTGGAAATAGAGTCACAGATTCTTGGGCTCTACTACATGAGTGCTGGGAATCAAATCCAGGTCCTTTGCAAAAGCCGCAAATGCTCTGAGTCATCTCGCCAGCTCAGATCTCTCTTTTATTTTATTTTATTTTATTTTTTTCTTTGTGAGACAGGGTCTCCCTGTAGCCACAGCTGGCTTTGACTTGCTAAGAGACCAGGCTGGCCTCAAATTCAGAGATCTGTGGGCCTCTGCCCCCCAGAGGGATTAAAGGCACGCACTACCACGCTGGACTTCAGACCTCTTTTTTTTAAATTTATTATTTTTACTTTTTATGTGTATATGTGTATTGCCTGCATGTAGGTAAGTGCACTCGTGTTGTGCAATGCCCTCAGAGGTCAGAAGAGGCTGTTGGATCCCCTGAGACTGGAGTTACAGATAGTTGTTAGCTGCCATGTGGGTGCTGGGATTCAAATCAGGTCTCCTGCAAGAACAACCAGTCTTCTTAACTGCTGAGCCATCTCTCCAGCCCCAAGACCTAACTCTTAAAGGGTGTGCCGGATAACTTCAGTTGTCAATTTGACACATGTATGTAGAGGGAGCCTCAACTGAGGAAGTTCCTCCATTGGACAAGCCTGTGGCCATGTCTGTGGGGTGTTTTCTTGATTGTTGAGTGATGCAGGAGGGCCCAGCTCACTGTGGGTAGTGTCACCCCTGGGCAGGTGGTCCTGTGTTGTATAAGAAAACAGGCTGGCTGGGCATGGTTGCGCATGCCTTTAGTCCCAGCACTTGAGAGGCAGAGGCAGGTGGATCTTTGTGAGTTAAAAGCCAGCCTGGTCTACATAGCGAGTTCCAGGACAGCTGGGGCTACAGGGAAACCCTGTCTTGAAAAGACAAAAAGAAGAAAAAAAAAAGAAAAGAAAGCAAGAGAGCAGGCTGAGCACAGGCGAGGGGAGCAAGCCAGTAAGCATCATTCTTCCATGGTCTGTGCTCCAGGTTCTTTCCCTGAGTGCCTGCCTTGGCTTCCCTTGATGATGGACTATGAGCTGTAAGCCAAATAAACACTTTCCTTGTTAAATTGGTTTTGGTCAGTGCTTTTATCACAGCAATAGAAATTAAATAAGACAAAGGGTCAAGAAAAAAATTGGAAAGGGCCTCTAAGCCTGTGCAGAGGCTGGAAGGCAAACGAGTATGAAGGAGATGAGAGTGGAGACAGGAGGATTGCCATGAGTTTGAGGCCACTCAAACTACATAGTAGTCTTAGACCAGCCTGGGCTACAGGGTGAGAACTCTGTCTCAAAAAAGCAGAACAAGACAGAAAAAAAAGAGGGTGGCCTGGGGCCAGACCACAGAGGGCTTCACTTTCTCTCCTGAGAGCAGTAGGGAGCCACAGATAGTTCTGAGGGAGGGAGGGCCCTGGTCATGTTCATGCTTAGAAAGAACCCTGTAGGCTGAGGATAGAGTTCAGTGGGTAGAGTGCTTGTGTAGCTTGTATGAAGCCCTGGTTGCATCCCCAGCACTGCATAGACTGCGTAGTGGTGGTGTAATACCAACACAGGAGAGGTGGAGGCAGGAGGATCAGGAGTTCAAGGTTATCATCAGCTACACAGTACATACAAAGTCAGCCTCAGCTAGAGACCCTGCCACAAATAAACAAGGCCATATGTATGGGGACAAAAGGAGAAAATCTGGGAACACCTGTGTCGGGGAAGAGGCAGTCTGAACAGAAGGGAGGGGAGACTTGGAGTCTCTTGTGATCTTTGGGACCCCCAGGGCCATTGTAGGGAGCAATAAAATTTTGGGATGAGTTTTGAGTTTTGAAGGATGAGAGAGGTTATTTTGTTTTTGTTTTTGTGAGATCATCTCCCTGTAGCCCCACCTGGCCTCAATCAAACACAAATCTGCCTGCTCTGCCTCTGGAGTGGAGTGCTGGGATTAAAGGCAGACTGCCCTAAGCCAGGTGATGAAGGAGGTTGTTGAGGACAGTGAAGCCATGGAGAGGGGGAACTGTTCCTGGCCTTTACCACTAGTCAGCCACTAGTCAGCAGGTGATCAGCCTGAATCCCTGGGGCTTTGAGTATTTGGAGGAACCAAGAAAGGTAGAGGAGAAATGTTTGGCTATGCTGTAGTCAGTCGGTGCTAGTTGGGGATGGAGGATAGACTTTAAGGTATCAGTCTGAGACACCAAGGGCCAGGGTAGTAAACTGGTAAGGGGTCTGGAGAGATGGCTCAGTGGTTAAGAGCACTGGCTGGTCTTGCAGAGGACCTGGGTCTGGTTCCCAGCACCCACATGGCAACTAACAACCATCCATAACTCCGCTTCCAGAGAATCTGACACCCTCTAATGGCCTCCTCAGACATTGCATACATGGGTGCACTTAAACACATACAGGCAAAACATACATATACAATTCTTTTTTTGAAAAATATTTTATTTATTATTTTCATTTCATGTGTATGAGTGTGTTGCCTGCATTTCTGTGAATGCACCTGAGTTGTGCAATGCCAAGGAGGTCAGAAGAGGGCGTCGGACTCCCTTGGAACTGGAGTTAAGGATGGTTCGTAGCCACCATGTGGGTGCTGGGAATTGAACCCAGGTCCTCTGCAAGAGCAGTCAGTGCTCTTAACCACTGAGCCATCTCTCCAGCCCCACATATACAATTTTTTAAAAATTAAAAAAAATAGAGGCCGGGCGTGGTGGTGTACAGTGCTAATGGAGATCAGAAGAGGGCTATGGGATCCCCTGGAGCTGTTAACCTCCGTGTGGGTGCTGGGAGCTGTTAACCTCCGTGTGGGTGCTGGGAATCGAACCCAGACCCTCTGCAAGAGCAACCACTGCTCTTAACCGCGGAGCCATCTCTCCAGCCCCGTAAAACTTTTTCTAAACTAAAAGCATAAGAATCACGTGGGTTCAGCTGTACCATCGTGAGACGGATTGACACTAGGTAGGCTTTCTTTTGAGGGTTTCTCCGTTGCTAGGCAAATGGTTCTCAGAGCGCCGTGGTTACGGACCCATTAACCGCGCCCCGTAGCCAACCAGAAGTCGTGGGCCGCCGCGAAGGCCACGCCCACATCTTCGCCCCGCCCATAACCCCAGAACCGTTACCTCAGCAACGGTCCGGGCTCGTCTAGCTTCCGGCTTTAGGTGCCAATCGTGGAGGCGTCTCCCAGACGACGACCCTACCCCTTCCGGCACGAGGCCGTCGGCTTCCGGTTGGGGGACCGGCGGCCGGCGTTCGGGCGGCGGCGGGGCCTGGGTAGGGGAGGTGGGAAGGCGGCCAAGATGGCGGCGGGCGGCGCGGAGGGCGGCGCGGGCCCTGGCGCAGCCATGGGCGAGTGCGCGGAAATCAAGTCGCAGTTCCGCACTCGGGAGGGCTTTTACAAGCTGCTTCCCGGCGACGGCGCGCCGCGCA